GTTAACTTTTGGAAACATAAATTTTGAAAATGTTTCGAAAATACTTCGATGTATGTTAAATTAAAGATTATGATTATATTATACCTTAAGATAAAAAAAAAATTATCCAAGTGCCTTGTTTTCTGTTTTTAAACAAATAATATTAATTTAGTGTATGAAACTACAAATTTTATATTTTAATTATTTATTGCTATATTTTAGGTCATATGGTATAATAATATAGAAAGAGGTAAATACCCCCATTGAACTCTCCTTTACATAAAAAGTAGTAGTAATAATAATAAAAAAAACCCAGCACAGGGGAGTCGCGGCACAGTGGTGATGTGGCATAGTTGGATCAATTATAGTGATATCTGCTGGTGATTAAAATCACTAAAAAAAACGCTTTAATGCAAATCTTTAGATAGTGTTTAATTAAAAAGAATAGGTGGATTATTCCAAACGCTACATGATCTCCTATTTCCTTATTTATATCCTGATTAAGATAAAGTATGTCGAATGAAAAAGGGATTATTAAAAAATATTATTTCTCATAAAAAAATTATGTTGATCCATACACTTTTCAATAAATTATAGCAATATAAAATTAAAAATGTAAAAAATAAAATCGAGAATTTTCACACAAAAATATCATTTGGTAGCCATTTTCACCGTGAAGACAAAATTAAGTCAGAAATTTTTTTTTCCATAATAAAGTACATTATATTAGCTTTAATTTAAAATATGTATAAAAGTGTCAGACTTTCAAAAGTTAAGTGAAAAATAAATTTTTTGTAAAAAAGTTGTCATTTTAAATTCCCCCCTGTGGGCAGGTAAAGGGTCAAATTTATAAAAATATATACCAAATAATAGGTAAAGACATTAGACATCTATAAAAAAAAATTATATTGATTTGTTAATTTTTGAAAAAGTTATGGCAGTTTTAAGTAAAAAAAATTGAAAACAGGTTTAAAATCAGGTTTTCAAAAAATTTATATAAAATGAATGAAAAATATCTAAGGTTTCAATATAAAAAAATTAATTGTTCATTTTTCAAAAAGTTAAAGCAGTTTTAAGTATTAAAATATTTCATGTTAAACAGTGATTTTTACATAAAAATTATAAATTTTGTTAAATATTTCTAATAGAAGAAAATGTGTCAGGACAAATTTTTTTTTAACTTATAGTATTTATTGTAAGTTTTAATTTGACATATGTTAAAAGGACGCAGTATTTCCGGAACATTTGTAAAAAACATGTTTTTGTAAAAAAGTTGCTATTTTGAATCCCCCCTGTGAGCAGGTTATGTGTTAGATTTTCAAACAAATGATATCGATGAAAGGAAAATATCTAATGTTTCAATAAAAAAAAGAATTAAGTTTTGTAAATTTTTAAAAAAGTTATGGTAGTTTTGAGAAAAAAATTACAAAATTTACCAATTTGAAAAATTGTAATTTTTTTGTAATGTTCCCTCATTTACGGGGAACGAAGGAATTTTTTTCAATTTTTGAGGGTAATGTCTTCAACTAGATACGATTTGTGATCCCTTTTAATTAATACCTCAGCTTCGCATCGAGGGTAAAATAATGTGTATTTTATTACATTAATTTTTTACAGCCTGGTTATGACCAGTCATTATAATATAATATTATCATATTTGACATTTTATTAAATGCTAAATGATGTAATATATTTTTTAAGTAAAGGTATTTTAATTTATGATAGAATGTTATTTTTCATTAAATAAAACAAATTAAATTAAGATATTAAACGACAAATAAAATATATTTTCTTCATTTGAGTCAAATTTTCTGTGTCAAAATTAAAAAATATCAAATAAGTATTACCAATCTAAAATAACCATAAAGAAACTATTATTTATTCAAAAAACAATTTGGAATGTGAGAGGTTTTGTTTGTATCTCATACTCGAAAAATACAATAGTAATATTGATAACACTAGGACATTATTTCGGACTAGATAGACTAAGCAGCCCAAAATTTTATGTGACCATCTTGATAATTCAGATAGTAATATTCTTTCTAATAGATTCGTTGAAAATTTTTCATTTATATTATACCACAGGAGAATAGTAGCGTATTTTTTTTAGAAGATCACGAGTAGGGGTGATTTCCACATTAAACATTTATCTAGAATAATACGCTTTTTAATTTTTTCGGTAATTAATATGGTTATATTGTCACTTTACAATTGCAATAGAGACCGTCATATTGAAAGAGGTCGTTTTCCTAATGTGTAATCGTCGTAATACAAGTGTATTACAAATTATATTATAGATACGATTTGTTCCTTATCGTTTCTGATCGTTTACAATGTCTATAACAGTGGGTTTGACAAGCTTATCAGTGTTCTAGTAACGTAGGTATCGGGTTTTTTGTATTATGTTAAATTTTTATTCTATTTTTAAGTATAATTTATACTATTTTTTATTTTTTTCCTCTTTTTTCCTTGCCTCTAAAGTCTATCTGAATGTTTTATAAATCCTATATGCCCGCATTTAAAAAAAAGTTATGGTAGATCTATTTTTTGCATTTTTAAAAAATACATATTTACAAGATTTTATGCAAACTTCGAAATGGCGCCACTTGTTTTCTATAGTTTTTGAATGTACCCCAGAGTGGCTGAGTCGGTAATGCGACAATTGGAATTGGGCTAAGCTTTCTTTTTTCTGAATGTTTAGGGAAGGCGCCCTCGTGAGAGTTCTACAGGGGCACCGGTCACCGTATACTTAATTTACTTTACCGATAATTAATTTTTTTTGCAGTTATTTTTCGTTTTTTTTTATTAATTTTTATGAAATTATACTAAAATAAAGTACGTTTCTGTAACATGCTCAATTTTGTTTTTTATTTTTTGGAAAACAATCTGTAATATTCAATAATTTTACGCTATCTTTGGTGTATTTTTTATTTGGCCACTCGAAAACTATTAAACCATTTATTTCCGTTTTTCAAACAGTTTACAAAAAGGTATGTAAAAAATTAAAAAAGAGTATTTGGTAAACTGTAATTGTTGCAAAATTATTATTATTTTTTATTTAAAATAAAAAAAGTTATAAGAAAAAAATTGTTTTTCTTTTTTTCTTTTATTAATCGTTTTATTTACTATTCATCTTTAAATAATCTATTTTTTAATAGATAGTGTTATCAAATTTATTGAACTTTACTTTATTTTTTCTCTTTACAAAAATTTAAAATTCTCAGTAGTTTCTTAAAAACTACTGAGTGTCTTAAAAATTTTTGGATCATCTGTATATAGTTGTCTATTATAATATTGAAATCACAAGCGCAAAGAGCAAACATTTTTGTGTTAATTTAAAATTACCCCTTTTTACAAACTTAAATGGCATTACTGATTACATTTGAATAACTATGTTGATTACTAGTCAATAATTTTAATTTATTATTAAATTCTGTTTTAATAATTAAGTGATGTCCAATAAGTAACCAAGTCCTTTTTTGAACTCTAAACTCTATTACGCTTCATTATAAATCTTATTAAACATGTGTTTAACAAATACTTAGTAATTTTTTTTTTATTATATATTTTTATAATTATCAATATAATAACGTTTATGTCTATTAATATTTCTATTAATCCCAACTATAAATTAAGCAAATCAATATGACAAAAATAATACAAAAGATAAGAAATCATACAAATTTTAACTTACTCAGGCATACTAGATTCATAATTATTGTTTTCTTTTGTAAAATATTCTTTTTTTATGTTAGTTGATAATGATTTCATTTTTATCTGTTGTTCAAAAAGAAACTATAATTTGAACGAATTCGAAATTAATTAAAAGTGTATAAAAAATTAAAACACTAATTTATGATACAACTTTCAATAAGTGAACTTAATACCTATTAAATTTCATTGGGTTTATAATTTATTTTTTTAACATTATTCACACACTAGAAAAACAAAATTACTTAGCAAGGAACGATAACAATCTGCGATAGTCCCAGTACTACTAAAATATAAAAATAATGCATCGTTGTTTACTCAAGGTGTAGTATCATCATAAAAAAATTATGAGAGGGGTTTATTTCTGCCGTTGTAAATGTTGACCAAACATTTTATACATAAGCAATTAAACATTTGAGCTGAATTCGTTTATAATATATTTTATTATGGTTATAAGTTATTTTTTAACAGAAGACAGGTTATTATAACGATAAAAATTTTCAATTTTGTTATTTCAAAATAATAAAATTTAGTTCTGTCCACATACTTTATTATTTTTTGTAAAACTTTTATTGAATAAATCTGAGTACTTAAACAAATGTATTTTAAATTAATGTTTAATATATATTTTTTAAGAAGTAAACCTACGTTGTGCACTTCTAACAAAATTATGGTATAATTGACTATTGAAAATAGTTGATTATTTATTTATAAAATTTTTTTTTATTTAGCTAGTTGTTTTCAGTGTGTCTGTGCACAAATTGAAAATAATAAAATTAATTACATGCATGTAATTGTATTTCTACTACTAAAAATCATTTTATTCATGTGACATAGAAGTCATTAAAAAATAATAATAATTATGAATGAGGTTGCACATTTTTTCCCAATAAATGAGAATAACAATCGATTAAGATTGTTTGATTAATTGTTTTATGAAAAATATAATCAAAATCTAGTTGTCACTGATATGATAACTAGTAGTTTTTTTAAATTTGGCCATTAGTTGAGGGGAAGGGAATCGAGACCCCAAAAATACATTATTATATGTACATTAAAATAAGTAGTTAATAGCAAACCTTAAGAATATGTGGTGTTCATTTGTGAGGATCTAACCAGATCTAATTTACATTGTTACCGATGTATATTTAAATACTGAAAAAATTCTGAAATATGAAAAAATTGTTTCTTTATTTGATTTTCTTGTAATTTTTTCGTAGATTAGATCGAAATAATAAATTACTATTTTATAAAACCCACTAAAATATTAAACCATAGAATTAATAAATACATATGATTTGGATTCTCTTTGATATATCAAATGTGTTATCATTTTCCCGCGTCGCATGGCGGTATTAGTGTTGTAAATATCATAATCAGTTTTTGATTCAACATTAGAAACTCACTAGTTGTGTCGTAAACTCTGACTTACACTTATAACTGGTATGTTACTTAAACTCATATCAACTGTCGAATAATTGAAAAATAGTTTTAATTGTTATTTTTATAGATTAAATATTTGTACCAAACCTAGTTGCTTTCACCTAAATTATGGATTTAGAATTTCAAGATGTGCGTGCCGAAGTTAAAGGTATCATGGTAGGTAAAATGTGTTGGTTCTTTTGGGAACAACTAATTTGTTAAAAGCTACTTATGATTCAATTTGTACAGTCTATTGTTCAATATATGAATAATTCATATATTGAACAATTTATTAATTATAAATAAATACATTTATTTTTATACAAGCTATTAACTTTTTTATTTGATGGTTACAGTGTTCAGGGCGTTTAAAGTTTACAGATCAGAATATTGCATTTAAGAATATTAAAACTGGCAAAGTTGAACAGCTAACATCATCAGATATTGAATTTGTTAATTGGCAAAAGTTAGTAGGTACATGTGGAATAAGAATTTTTTTAAAAAATGGCAATTTGCATCGTTACAGTGGATTCAATGAGTCTGTAAGTAAAAATATTGAAATTTATAGTGCTATTAAGAAATCATAATTTAAAATAAGTTCCTTTTTACAGGACCAAGAAAAAATTGCCAAATATTTTAAAAATACATACCATTTGGATATGTTGGAAAAAGAATTGTCTATTAAAGGATGGAATTGGGGTAGTGCTAAGTTTAATGGTTCAATATTGAGTTTTGATATTGGTAACTTAACTGCCTTTGAAATTCCTCTTAATAATGTATCTCAATGTACTACTGGGAAAAATGAAGTAACATTGGAGTTTCATCAGGTAAAACTTAATATTAATTATCCTGGTATAACAAAAGTATGGTTATAAATGATTATTATATTTTAGGTTTTATTTGTAAAAATATAATTTTTAAATATATCTTACTTTAATTTTTAGAATGATGAAGCTCCAGTTAGTCTTTGTGAAATGAGATTTCATATTCCGACAGCTGAGCTTGCTGGTGATCAAGATCCAGTTGATGCATTCCATGATCAAGTTATGAAACAAGCTAGTGTAATATCTGTATCTGGTGATGCAATTGCTATATTTAGAGAAATGCAATGTCTTACACCTCGGTAACTTAATTATAAATACTATAGATATTATTGGATGTTTTAATAGTTTTTATTTTCCAGTGGTCGCTATGACATTAAAGTTTTTCAAACATTTTTTCAACTACATGGTAAAACTTTTGATTATAAAATTCCTATGACAACAGTACTGAGGTTATTCATACTACCTCATAAAGATGGACGCCAAATATTTTTTGTTGTAAGTTTGGATCCTCCAATAAAACAAGGTCAAACAAGATACCATTATTTAGTACTCCTATTTAATATGGATGATGATACTTCCATTGAACTTCCATTTACTGAGTAAGTACAGTTTTGTTAGTTAAAATCAATGAGATAGAACAAAATATTTAATATAATTCTTTTCATCATTAAAATAAGTGGTGTCTTAATTATTTTTTTATTATTTCCTTTTATATTTTTGAGTAAATATAAAACTTCCACATTACTAAATTATTTTATGGAAAGTTAGTGTATCAATTTTACTAGCTTGAAAAATGAAAAAACTAGATTAAGAAAATATTAGTATTTTATTAAAAATGATATGTAATGTTTGTTCTTTAATCTAATTTTTTCTGTATTATTTGGTAGGACATAATTAATTCTTAATATTCCATTTATTCTAAAAATAAGTAATAATAATATTTTAAATATTTAAATATAACTTTATTATAATGTAAATGCTTTAAATTATATTAAAAAAAACAAATCTATTATAAAAGTAATACAGTTTTTTATTGATTGATACTACACTGTTATTTTTATATTTATATTTGAATTATAGTGAAGAAATTGAATCTAAATATGCTGGAAAATTAACAAAAGAATTAAATGGACCAACTTATGAAGTTCTTGCACAAGTCATGAAAGCTATTGTTAATAGGAAAATAACTACTCCAGCTAGTTTTAAAGGGTTAGTTGGCATTATATTATTATTTAAAATTATTTTTTTCATTGTATTAAAAAAAATTAATAGTCATTATTTAATAAATAATTTTGTTTAATATAGCTAGGAAATATCAGATACTAATTTAATATGTAATAACAATAGATATTAAATTTTAATAATTGTTTTAGGCATTCAGGTACCTCAGCAATTGGTTGTTCTTATAAGGCAGCAGCTGGTTATATTTATCCTCTGGAAAGAGGATTTATATACATACACAAACCACCAATTCATATAAGATTTGAAGAAATTTCTAGTGTTAATTTTGCTAGAGGTGGAGGTAGTACAAGATCGTTTGATTTTGAAATTGAATTGAAAAATGGTGTAATACATACTTTCAGTAGTATAGAAAAAGAAGAATATGGTAGTCTTTATGATTTTATAAATGCCAAAAAATTAAGAGTGAAGAATACAGGCAAATCTGTAAGATATTTGATGATTATGTTTGATCTCCTTTAAAGATAATGTTTTCTGTTTAGGATAAACCAGCTTATACTGGTGATGATTATGGGGATTCAGATAACGAGGGTGAACCTGATGCTTACTTGGCTCGTGTAAAGCGTGAAGGACAAGAACGAGATGAAGATGATGATTCCGATGAAAGTACTGATGAAGATTTCAATCCAGATGCACAAGAGAGTGATGTTGCTGAAGAGTAAAATTTAAATATAAATATGTTAATATAATCAACATAATCTTTGTATAACTTTTATTTGTATTATATTTTTTAAGATTTGATAGTAATCCATCAACTACTGAATCAGAATCAGATGAAGAAGGTGACTCTAAAGAAAAGAAAAAGAAAAAAGATAAAAAGCCAAAGTCTGCGAAAACAATTGTTAGTCTAGTAATTTTACTTAAAACTATTAAATATTAAGTATAATTAATTTTTGTTTTAATAAAAAATATTTGATTATAGTCTGAAAAACCTCGTAAACCAAAAAAAGCCAAAAAAGTTGATGATGGTAGACCAAAAAGAGCAGCCACAGCTTATATGTTGTGGTTTAATGAAGCTCGTGATGATATTAAAGCTAACAATCCTGGAATTTCATTTGCTGACGTTGGAAAGAAAGGAGGAGAAATGTGGAAGAAAATGTCTTCTAGTGAAAAATTGGTATTAAATAGAAATGTTTTTTATGATAAGTTATTAATGAAAAATAAATGGCAAAAATAGTAGAGGTGTAGTATACAAACCCCCCCCCCCACATACATTCTAATTTGTTTTTTTATTATTCCTTAAATTTAGAATATAGTTAGTTTTGTTCTATATATAAGTTATGGCAGTATGAATTGTCATTAGAAGAAATTATTTGGGGTACTTGATAACAAAGGTTGTAAGAAAATATACATGGGCTCTAGAACTTAAACACTATTTATGCCAATGCATGTTGAGTACACATGATAAGATTCTGTAGTTATTACTAATAAATTCCTTAACTTTAAGTTATTCATAAAACTTCTTTATAAATAATTAAATTAATAGATTTTTTAAAAAATTAAATGAAGTCTAGATTTATAAATGTTTATATTAACAGCTTAAAATGTTAAATAAGAAGAAGTATTGATTATGACTATGAAAATAGATATTTTTAGAGTAAATAATTAAAATTAAGTAGTGCTATGTGGTGCAGTAGATCATTCAATCGCCCTCTTAGCATTGATGATCAGCTGCACACTAATGTCCTTTTATTGGTTCCTTCAGCCATAATAGAGTTGTGTAGAATAGAGACTAAGAAGTTAATGAATATGAAATAATTATAAACAAAATGTGAATAGGTTTTTTTGTTGACTCGCTCATACAATCTTTTTAATAAATAATTATTTATTACCATTATAATTAAATGTGGCTCTGTGTATTAACAATGTATTTTTTCTCTTAAACTATGAAATTTTGTTAAATTATAGTATTTTTTTGACATTCTAGAAATATGAAGAAAAAGCAGCCAAAGCTAAAGAAGAATATAATAAAGCAATGAAAGAATTCAAAGAATCTGGCGGAGGAGCAGATACTCCCAAAGCTTCTTCTTCTTCAAAAACAAAATCCTCTTCAAAACCACAAGCTAAAAAATCTTCATCAAAAAAAGTTACAACGCCTGTCAAGAGTGGATCATTTATTTCAAAAGAATTTATTGAATCAGATGATGATTCTTCAATGAGTGAAAGTGAAAAAAATAATAAAAACAAAAGTAAATTGAAAAAGGTGAATTTTTTTTTTTAATATTATTTTGTTTGCTTATTTTAAATTAAAATTTTTTTTTCTTAGTCCACTTCAGGTGATTCAAGTGAAGAAAAATCAAAACCTCCAAAAAAAAGTGATGACAAAAAGAGAAAGCAAAAAGTGTGTATTTTGATTATAAAGTGATAGTTGTTATATTTAATTGATATGTAATTTTAGGAATCTTCAAATGAATCAAGCGAAGAAGAAAAAAATAAATCCAAAAGAAGTAAGAGTGACTCTGAGGAGGAAGAAGAAGAGGAAGAAAGTAGTGGAAGTGCATCTGATGCTAGTGATTCTGATTAAGTTTTGTAATCTGTATTTTGTATCTAATAACTTCTTAATTTTAATTTCTATGTTCCACAGTTATTTTTATTATTATTATTATATTTATGCATTATTTTGTAACTTCCCTTTTTGTACATATTTCAGTACAATAAATGTATGTTTTTATATTCCTTTTTTTTTTTTTATCAAATTTTTATTTTATGTATTCTACTTAGTGGCAGTCAAATAAGAGAAATTAGAGTGATAGATCACCCATTACATAACCATAAAATTTAATTTATATTTGAACAAAAATCAATGGTATTGAAAAATGTTGAGCTGTGTCACTATTTTTTCCGATGGGTGATAAGATTTCATTTTATTTTATTTGTAAATGGATTTTCTTCCACGATAAGGAATTGTATAATCATTTGAAAATGTATTCAAAGAAATACCATGCGAATCCGAATAATTATTGCGAATAAGAATTTGGCCTTGAAGAAAAAGATACTCATAGATATGTTTTAATACAAATATGAACATCAAATTAATATCGATGACATTTTATACTGATAAAATTGTTTTTATAAGAATTAGAGGAATTATTTATCTTTAAGTTACGAGTTGAAGTGTAACATGTATGAGATACGATGTATTATATTGATATTCGAAGTAGTTTACTTTATTTTATTGCTTCTTCGAATAATATTTTATATTTGTTATGGAAACAAAAATTTCGATTTTATTATTTTCATCGTGTTAAAAAAATAAAATGTTTTCATACGTGTACCTTTTAAAACCACGAAATTCTAATTAACATTTAGTTTAATTACGATTTGAATTACATACATAGATGTAGTATTGTAATATTTTAAAAACGCTACATTTCATTTTCCTTCTATCTAAAAGTATTTATTTAAAACTATATACATATCATAAACTACATGATTTTCTATACTTAAGAGGCGGCAAAATTTAACAATTAAGGAATCAAGTCATCCAAATTCCACACTTTTGTTAATGTAGCTTATAATAACTCACGTTAACCTTACATTTTAGTTATAAACTGTACCAAATATATCTAATTAAAGCTACTTTAAAAAAAAAAATCTTGTTTTATCATTCTTATTTCATTATAGATACATTATAAACTCAAAAGAACTTTATTAACTCAAATCTTCCTTTCATTACCATATGGTGTGCAGCACACAGATCGGATTTGGCTTTCAAATCGAGTAGTAATTGTGTTGGAGAGTTGAAATATATTTTTTCAGAGTTAGTTGGTTTAAGCTCATTTCTACACTCTTCCAGCTTAAGAACCAAGCATCTCCAACAGGCGGCCGAAAAAAATAAATGCACTCTTTCGCGGTTGCCTCGTTTATTTGAAGTGCGGTGGTCCGAATTTTTGTTTGATTTAATCAATTCAGTTTTGGTTTCTTGGAATGCTTTAGTATTGTTCTTAAAAGATTGTCCTGACAAAGGGCAAGATGATACAGACTTTTTTTAATCAATTATAACAATCTACAAATCCTGGCATTTATTGCAGACGTATTGATGGTTTTCAGCAGATATCAGAAAAAACTGCAGTCTGATACAAATACAATTTTAGACATGGACAAAGAGACAGTAAACGTTCTATCCAGGCTTAAAATATTAAAAACGGAAGCGTTACTTGGTGGATGGGTGACAACCTTAAAAGAACAGTTAGAAATTCATAGTGAAAATGAGGTTTTACTAAAAGGAGAAGTCTTAACAAGAAATCGAAAACATCGTTTAAAGGAACATCACAAGTTTGTTTCTCAGAATCGAGACTACACCGCAATCTGCAATGAAATTGTGGATTTTCTTGTAAATTTTTTGCAGGAAAGATTCGATATTGATGCGGATAATGTTAAAATTTTGAAACCATTCACTGAGCTAGAGCCATCCGTTGATATGAAAGCAGTTCATAAATTGATAGGAAACGACTTAGATCTTGCTGAACTTTCAATGGAATATTCGGAGCTTCTCACTCATAAAAATATTGAGCATTGCTATATTACTGCTAGTGTTACCTGGAGCTACTATTTTACAAAGATAAAAACTCAAATGCGTATCGAACGCGGACCCTGTACGCAGTGCATTGTCCGCTTCTCCCGGGCGATCCCGACAGTGGTCGCACGTCGGCGCGGTTGCCTTACGAATACCGTGACGGTATTAATTGAAGCAACCGTGACCGAACATCATCTGGGTCAGACTATATGTCATTTCCCCGTAAGTTCGGCCAATCCACCTGTCGAGCCGGCTGGATTCGATGAGGGACCTCGTCCACGTTCCCACGGTTTCCTCGCGGAGAAGCCAGGACCCTGGTCGCCACTCCGGAAACGGTGCGGTAAGCGCACACAGTCCAAAGGGCGACCCTCCTCTGGACCCGGTTAATGGCCTCCACGTTCTTGGGCGAGCACTCTAGTGTACCCGCCCACACCGGGGACACGTACATGAGGACCGAGTGAACGACGCTGACCAGCAGTCGACGTTGCAGTTCTCTAAGTTCCCCGATGTTCGGCATAAGTCCCACCAGCCGGTCCATGACCCTCTGGGCCACACGTTCTATGTGCGGCCCGAATATAAACCTGTTGTCGATAAGCAGACCCAGGTAGCTCATGGTCCGTTTCAGCGGGATGTCTGTCCCTAGTACGGTGAGCCTTGGTGGGACGTACCTGTACTTTCGCGTGAACAAAACCGAAACGGCTTTGTCCAGCGCGAGGCACANGACCCAGGTAGCTCATGGTCCGTTTCAGCGGGATGTCTGTCCCTAGTACGGTGAGCCTTGGTGGGACGTACCTGTACTTTCGCGTGAACAAAACCGAAACGGCTTTGTCCAGCGCGAGGCACAGGCCGGTACCCTCCTGCTGGATCCAGGCAGTGACGGCGCTCAGCGCACCGTTTGCTCGGATACCAACCTCTTCCGCCACCACAAGGATGTCGTCAGCGTAGCAAATGACCTGTGTTTCCCGCGGTAGTGGAACACCGCGTTGTGAGCGATGTTCCATAGCAAGGGTCCAAGAACCGAACCGTGCGGGACTCCACCCGTTACGGTTTTGGTTCTAAGCCCTGTGGCACTCGATGACCCGGTCATTAAAATACTACCGGATCATCCGGCGGAGATACCCGGAACGCTTCCAGCGCTCCGAGGATGTGTGACCATCGCACGGAGTTGAAAGCGATCCGGATGTCCAGGCTCACTACAACGCAGACGCCCGGTCCGTTCTCGGCCCTCACGGCCAACTGACGGAAGACGGAGGCCGCGTCATCCTGAGCGGTGTTCTATGCAGGTGGCCAACAGCCGCTCTAGGATGTTCCCTACGTCGTCCAGCATGTAAAGCGCCCGGTACGACGAGGGGACTCTTTCAGGCTTGTCACCTTTCCGCAAGAACACCAACCTCACCCTCTTCAATCTGAGCGGGATTTCACCCTCTCGGAGACACCCTTTAAAATCGATGTCCATTCACTGCTGTGCGAGGTCGTGGACGAGACCTCATACCCGGTTCGGTATGCTGTCCGGACCGGGTGCGGTGTTCCTCTCCCGGACTCTCACTACGGCAGCGGATATCTCCTCCCGGGTGAAATCCTCGATGGTCGCGTCGTCTCCGATAGACGGCCAATCTCACAGGGGTGGTAGAGGCGGGTGCGTCGGGAACATCGCGTGAACCGTCTGTTCCAGAGTTCCCGCCTCCAGTTGCCAAGGAGTCGGCGGACCGCGCAGCTTACGCATCACGACCTTGTAGGTGTTAAGTTAGGAATACAGGTAATACAATACCATAATACTATACCATACCAGAGATGATTACTGATGAACTGGTTTATTATTACATGTACACATACAGATATAAGAACATACACAGATAACGTATACATATACATATATCTCATACATTACATTTTCCCCTTTTTAACTTTAAACCCCCATATTAATTACAATGTAGCAGTAGCAATTATAAATAATTAATTACAATGTAAACAAGATTTACAATTAATACTAGTATAATATTATACAAATTCATCAAATCCATATCGATTTGTTTTTTTAACAACTCTATTTGAATTTTTTACTATACTCTTATCTTCATTTACAAATCTAGGTACTTTAATATCTTTAACATCTCTGTAAGTTTTTTCTTTTAATTGATTAACATGTGCAGTTCTAATTTTATTATTTAATTTATTACATATAAGTATTTACTTTTTCTTTTAACAATTATTGCTGTTAACCATTTTAATGAACTTTTAATATTACCCTTATTTTGTTCCATTTTCTACAATTTTAACTTCTACAGTTTTTTTTATATTTTTTATTTAATTTATTTACAAAAGTCCCTACTTTATATGAAACAATTACATCAAATGGTGATTATTTTGTTACCGTTGACAGTGTGCTATTGTAAGCATTAATAAATCTTAATATATTCTCTTTAATAGATAATCTATCATATTTACAATCTAAAAAATATTTATTTAGATACTTTTTTACTGTTTGTACAGAACGCTCAGCTTAACCATTAGATTGACTGTGATAAGGAGGTGTTTTAGTCACTTTAATATTACTTTCTTTACCATATGTATTAAATTTCCAAGAATTAGATGGAAGACCATTGTCAGCCACTAATTCTGTTGGTAGACCAAAATAAGCAAAAATCTCTTGAAGAGTATAAATAACTCTTTCAACATTAGTTTTATTCATTAATTTAACATCAATAAATTTACTATAAGAATCAACAAAAAGTAAAAATATATCCTTATAAAAATAAAAGAAATCAATATGTACTCTCTCAAAAGGACTATTGGTTTCAAGCCACTTTGATTCCACTTTCTCTTTAGGTACACTCTGTGTTTGACAACAAATCTCACAACCTTTTACAAAATGTTCAACATTTTTAGCCATTCCTCTCCACCAAACTATTCCTCTACCTTCCATTTTCATTCTAACTATACCATGATGATCCTTATGTAATAATTTCAGTATCTCTTCTCTTATACTTTCAGGTATTATTATACTATCTCCAAAAAATAAACAATTATCTTGAGTTCCCAAGTTATCTCTTAACTTAAAATAATACTCTAAATCCTCTTCTATATTATTTGGCCAACCTTCTTGCGCATATTTTATTACTTTTTCTAATATTTTATCTGTTTTATAACCATCTGGTATTTCCTTAGTACTCAAATTAAAATCATTAGTAATGCAAAATCTATTTATTGAGCTTTCTTCAACTTCTATTGCTATATTCAATGGTAATCTAGACAATGCATCTACATGTGTCATTTGTTTTGCAAGTCTATATTGAATAGTATAACTATACATAAATAATAAAACTGCCCATTGCTGTAATCTTGAAGCTGCTGCCACTGCTGTACTCTTATTTGGATTGAAAATTTCTTTTAGCACTTGCGAATCTGAACATAACATAAAAAGATTACCATAAATATATTTATGAAATTTCTTTACCGCATAAACAATTGCTAATGCTTCTCTATGCAATTGAGAATAATTCTTCTCCGCTGGTGATAACGAGCTTGATGCAAAGCATATTGGTTTTTCCTCTTTACCAAACATCTGGCCAAATATCGCTGTTTACACAGTAAATACCTTAGTAAACAATATGTTAATTCATAACAATAAATGGAAATAATAAATATATTATTTCACATATTTTTTAATTTTGCAAGCAGATGATTTGGAGAACATGAAAGACTTATTGCCTCCTTACTTTTTCATAAATTCTCTGACACGGTACTGTGTTACCCTCATCCGTATCAAACGTTATCAACCTAAATGAAAGTGTATTCGTATATGAATCATAAGTGCACGATAGCCTCAGGTAAAGTTTTGCGTTATAACGCCTTAGGTCGTTGGTTTTAATACCGTAGGTTTTCTTTAGGTAAGAAATAAATAGTAAAATATATATATATATAAGTCAAACATCTAGGGCTTGCATCTATTGAGTAGGAGATTCTCGTATTTTATTATTTTTTAATTAAAGTAGAAATGGACAATTTGCGAGAAATGTGAAGAAAATTAATTGTTAATCTATACATTTTCTAAAAAAAATCATTATTTATCAAAAACTGAGGGTAGAATACTCAATAAATCATACTGTATTTACATTTTTCGACGCCTTTTAAATATTATTGTTAATAAATTAATATATTAACTTTACTTATTTTACTTAAAGAACCTACCTAAACCCAACTAATAAAATTGGTGAACTCATTACTATGGCAAACCCTTATAAGGTATTTTAAAATAAACAAAAAATTAAATAAATAAAATTTGAACACAAAAAAAAACATGATATTTAACTTCGGTAATCATTTGCATAAAGAAGATAGGCCGTCAGGTCAATTTTTTTTTAAATTTATAGTACGTTATTTTTTTTATTTTAGACATATGTTTTATCCTTAAAATTTTTAAAGACACAGTATTTCCGGAACATTTTTAAAACTTAAATTGAAAAAGTTGCTATTTTGAATCTCCCATGTGGGCAGTTAAAGGGTCAGATCATCATAAAATGTATATCAAGTGATAGAATTAGTTGACTAAGAAAAAAAATTTTAATTTAAAGTAAGCAACCGAAATATTATAAAAAAACAAAAACAAAAATAATTCACCTTTTTCAATTTACTTTTGTTTTTATTATTTTTTTCACTCTCACTCATTGATGAATCATCATCTGATTCAATAAATTCTTATAAAATAAATGATCCACTCTTGTCAGGAGTTGTAACTTTTTTTTATGAAGATTGTTTAGCTTGACGTTGGGTTATATCTGTTGAAAGAAAGAACTCCCTTCCTAATACTTTCGTCAAGTTGAACAACCATTTATCATAACTAAGCCTACATGTTCTCTTTACTTACGCGTTATATGAGTGCTTCATAAATATTAATCACAAAAATAATTCAAACAATTGACAATTATCAAAAGTTCTTTTCCTTATGGTCTTGTTTTCGATAACCTTATCGACAATGTTAAGTGGCAAAGTCGACCTATTACTGAATTTTAACACCTTTACTCACACAGTGGAGGGAGTAAATGTACGTAGGAATTAATTTATTAACTAAGCGCATGGCCACAGAGATCGCTAAATTCTGAAAGCGCCTCAACCGTTTTGAATATAGTAAACTGAAACAACGTGTTAGTTTCCTTTGACACTTTCAATGCTAATGATCAATTTAAAAACATTTGAATTATTTTTTTTGTTTTTAATGAATTATCGATCTAATTCAACTTTTCTTTTTCAAGTGACCTGTACATGAAACTAACGCTTTTTACTTACATTGTAGATTAATTTTTATCTCAGTAATTAAAAAGCCAAAAAATGTTGGAGTCGTGCACCCGTAAGTATCTAATACATTTAATTTGAAATTTTTATTAAGTTTATCAATTATTTATTTTTATCAAATTTAAAACGTACATAGTAGTTATTAAGCAAAATTGATTTCATTTTGAGTGTTAGTATCATTTTATAACTTACAAATTAGAATAATTGTATAAATGTCAGAATATTATGACATTTGTTTAAAAATTATATAATAGTAAAGACAAAAATTTTATATATTTTAAAAGCCTTGAAATTATTTTATTATTTGTTTTGAACATTATCAAGGTTTACATTTAGTTTACACATGTGTGAGGGCTTTAACCCCCATAAATGAATTAAATATAATTGTATAAATTGTATAAATTATACAATTTTAAATTAAATACAAGATAAATTATTTATTGTTAACTACTAAATTTCTCCAAAAATAATAAGAATTTTTTTTTATTGGTTTTTATGGAGTAGTATTTATTTCTCGAATTATACGTGGTTAACCCTTATAAGTTGAGAGCGAATTTATATACATTTATAAATTTTATTTATCTATTTAAGAATCCAAGTTTGTGCAAATTTGTTATTAGAATATATAGTAGCGTTGAAATATTTTTCATTTTATGGAAGAATAAACCCCCCTAATACCTAACATAATAATCTCAGTTAGAATAAATTACTAAATTTTCATGCCTATTGACACAAATTTGTACTGGCTGATGATGTATTTGGAATAACTCAACAACATTTATAAATGAATTTTTATTAAATTATTTATACATATATATATTTTTTTATTTCAAATATGCATTATGTGTAATTTTGAAACTGAAAAAACATGATTTTCTAAAAAAATTGACCCGCTTTGTTGTTTTATTGAGCCCTATAAATACGATTTAATGAAACATACAAGATTTACGTTTTTTATTCTATACAATTCATATTGTATAAAAATATTTGATCGGAGAGTGTCTTAAAAAGGGGCACAAATTATATTTCTCGCGAACCAGAATATTTATCTCCAAAAAAATATAGTAAGCAAAGAACATTCTATATATCCTCAAAATTTGTTGCACGTATATTAATTTTATTATTATTTATTGTATATTAATGTGTTAATAATTTCTAAAATACTGATTCAAAAGGTACTATCGACTAGCAAATTCTTTAGTTGTATAAATATTTCTGATAAAAGTAATTTCCATTGTCTTCGATTAGTCTACTTGACTTAATTTTCTATAATAATTATATTACATTAATCGTTTTAGGGGTATTAATGTTTATTAGTTTAATAATAAAATCATATTAAAATTTAAATTAGCCTAAATTGTAATAAAGAAAATTATTATTTATGCTATTAAACCAAAATCTCAAGTAAGTGAAGAAATGATATTATAAACATAGATAAGTTGTAAATAACAAAATGTAATTAACGAATCGCGTTAAAAATTGTTATAGATTACCCATTAAGTATGCATTTATAATAGATTTATTTAATAAAAGTATTGTATGTAAATGTAACAGCGGTGTAGCTATTTATTTATTTATTTATAATGTGCTTATATGTAATTTAGCTTTCTTAAAATTCAATAAAATATTAACAATTACTAGTACTGTTAACTGTTAATAAAAAAGTCGAAGTTTAAATGATAAAAACACCTGTTATAACTTTAAAACATAATCATATGATAGTTATAATATATTAACATACGTAACAAATGGTAACCGTACGAATATTTCTTGGTAATATTATACTAATGATTACATGAACAATAAAACAACATAATTCCTATTGCTTTAAGTGATTTTTTGTTTTTAAGTGAATTTATGTAGTTAAAGTTTTTATATAATTAGATTGTAGAACTACTAAATTGTAATGATTGAAAGTAAGTTTTATAAAACACATGCTTTTTTACCAAACTTGTAATAAGTTAAATTGTAAAAGTATAACACTAAGTTATTTGCATTTTTTATTATAAGTTTTCATGGTTAAATATACTAACGAATTTTGATATACATCACCCATTAGCAAGAATTGAGGTTATCTTAAAAAAAAATTAATTTTACATAGAGACAAAATAAAATAAAAAATTTTTAATGTTTAATTACAAATTAATTTTTTAATAGAATTTTTAGCAAAATTAATAGAACTTTTCTGATTTAAAATTTGATTTATATTTGAACAAAAATCAATGGTATTGAAAAATGTTGAGCTGTGTCACTATTTTTTCCGATGGGTGATAAGATTTCATTTTATTTTATTTGTAAATGGATTTTCTTCCACGATAAGGAATTGTATAATCATTTGAAAATGTATTCAAAGAAATACCATGCGAATCCGAATAATTATTGCGAATAAGAATTTGGCCTTGAAGAAAAAGATACTCATAGATATGTTTTAATACAAATATGAACATCAAATTAATATCGATGACATTTTATACTGATAAAATTGTTTTTATAAGAATTAGAGGAATTATTTATCTTTAAGTTACGAGTTGAAGTGTAACATGTATGAGATACGATGTATTATATTGATATTCGAAGTAGTTTACTTTATTTTATTGCTTCTTCGAATAATATTTTATATTTGTTATGGAAACAAAAATTTCGATTTTATTATTTTCTTCGTGTTAAAAATATAAAATGTTTTCATACGTGTACCTTTTAAAACCACGAAATTCTAATTAACATTTAGTTAAATTACGATTTGAATTACATACATAGATGTAGTATTGTAATATTTTAAAAACGCTACATTTCATTTTCCTTCTATCTAAAAGTATTTATTTAAAACTATATACATATCATAAACTACATGATTTTCTATACTTAAGAGGCGGCAAAATTTAACAATTAAGGAATCAAGTCATCCAAATTCCACACTTTTGTTAATGTAGCTTATAATAACTCACGTTAACCTTACATTTTAGTTATAAACTGTACCAAATATATCTAATTAAAGCTACTTTAAAAAAAAAAATCTTGTTTTATCATTCTTATTTCATTATAGATACATTATAAACTCAAAAGAACTATTGAAATTATTTAAATTGCATTGAAATAAATTTTTAAGAAACCACAGCTGTTAATTATATAAATATTTTCAGTCTAAAACAGCTTTATAATTTTCAAACTTAACAAATAAATCAATAATAATAAAATACGCAAAATATCTATCAACACTACAAAACATAAAATAATAATACTTTTCAATATATGACGTATTTAAATTGACGCATTACTATTTTGTGTTTTTATCTTAATTTCTGATGTTTTTTATATGATAATAACTAGCAAAAAATTGTTTTATAATTTTATTAATAAATATTTTTACAATATCTAACTAAATTTTCCTATGAAATTCGATATTTAATTTCATTGATAATTATTAGAATAGATAAACATTCCGTTTACCACTACCTAAAACAATAAGTTTAAGTATTAGATTTTAGAAGTATGTAATTAATTGTAATATATTTATTATTATTATTTAATAAACGTATAGAAAAAATTCTTAAGATCAATTGAATTTGAAATTAAAAAAAGAAATTGTGTTGCCTTTAGATCCGAGAAAAAATGTAATTGATTTCTTATTAAATCGAATAAACAATAAAAAAAATGTATTTTCCCTATCGACAAACCATACTAGGTCATCTTTAAAAGTGGTTTTTGAAATTCTGTTAGCAAGTGTTACCTGGAACTACTATTTTACAAGGATAAAAACTCAAATGCGTATTAATAAATATTGTTGTTAGGATAATATGATTTGTGCTAGTTTTCGTTGATTGTAACATGGAAATTCTAATTCTTTTGCAATAGCATCTTCTTCCGGGTGTCTTTGATTTTATTAACACGCGTTTAACTTCAACTGTATATTAATTGTACAACTGATATAAAATAATTCTTTGTTTTATAATTAGCAATCAATTTATTACCAACCAATTCTTCAATGTGATATGTTATTTTTTCAGGTGGAAAAATACGGGGTGTGCGGTACCTTCAAAGTTTATTATTGTTTTTATGTTTGTTTGCCGCGTATTTATTACGTGTGAGCATATCTGTAGCAATTGTTGCCATGACCCCAGTGAAAAATTCAACAGATTTCATTGTAGAAGTTCATAATCATATTCCCGTGAGTAAAACAATTGAAGAGTTTAACAAAATTACGCAATTGTTTATTTTGGTTTGAATGCATATATTTAATAATTGTAAAACTTTTTATAATAAAATTGACTGTTGTCATAATTAATAATAGGGTCGTCGTTATAAGTGTACGAAGTTCGCTCCTTAAAAGGTCCCTCAAACTCAGCTGATGACCAAAAAAAAATTTTTCTTAACAAAAAAAGTATATTAAAAATCCCGCAAAATTGTTTTGCACAAGACTCTGCAATTTTTGGAACCAGTCCTACCTAATAGATAATATTACAAACAACCTTATAAATTATTGTAGTATAATTGCTAAGTGAATTTAATCATGAAAAAAATTAATTTGTTACATTTTACGTATTTTTTATATTTGTTTAAAATAAATTAAACAAGCAGTTATTTAACAATTGGTTAGTTTCGATGTGTAGTCGAGAAGTCATCGGTTTACATCAAATAGCTTTAAAATAATTCACGGCAGATTAAACCCAATGGTTTTACTCTGACGTATATTTTTTTAATTTTATTTATTTATTTTTGTATGACACTAAACACAATTACTCTTTCTTCTACTTCGCCATTTTACATAACGATACAATAAATATTATAAAACCATTTTATTTGAAATTATCAGGAACATAATTTTGAATTCGCCTCAATCCCCGTAATACAGGAAAATATTTAAAAAATTTAGAGTTGTTATAAAACAGTCAATGTTGATATTTTTAGTTTTAACTTTATATTGAAATAGCTTTTTTAAAACTGGAAACTATTGTAAACATTTTATTGATAATACTCCAAAAATTTACCTTGCTGACGACATCCTTTTTTTTAAATCTATTAATCAAGGTGCGAACTCTGGGACCTTAAAAATCATGTCATCATTTATTTATTTTCAATTTTTGATAATGTTCCGAAAAACTTTACTTTTAATTTGACATTAAATTACAGCTATACGATTTATTTTAAGATAAAAAAAGAAAAACTATCGAAATCTCGTTTTTTATGATTTAATTCCAAATGAATGCCAAAACTTATACAATTTTCGGTAAAAATGACCTATTTTGAAGTGTTTTGTATAACAACGGAACATCTACATTATTCGAAATTAAATCAAATTTAAAGTTTTTTTGAATACTATACGATTAAAAAAAAAAAAATGTCAACTTATTCTCTATAAGTTATCGGTTTCTTAGATCGAAAATTAAAACTTTGAGATGAATTTCGGTATTAGACTTGAAAACGGTTTAAAAAATGAAAAAAAAAATCTTATTTGAAATTAACAATTAACAGTTTTTTTTTTAAATAATTTTTAAGCTTATTCTAAACTACAGATTAAAAAATAAAACATAATCTTGTGGTAATTTTTTATTAATTTGTTTTGATTGTTATAATTAATATATTTATTACATGATAATAAGCTTTCTTTGCTGGGTTGTAATTCTAAGGCTAATTAATTTAAGTCTGTTAGTTAATTCTGTATACACGCTAACATACCAACAACCCTTTGGAAATCGTATATTTTTATAGGCTATCGGAAAAGTGATTGAATTTAGAGTTTATTAATGATTTATTTATTTTAATTTTTGTTTTTTATTTAAATACTTTATTTACTTATAATTTTTATTAAAACATATAATATTTTGTTTTATGGAAATTTATTCAGGTATTTCAATGGTCACAGCATACGAAAAGTTTAATTTTGAGTGCCTTTTTTTGGGGATATTTAATTATGAATTTACCTGCCGCTATGATAGGTCGTCGTTACAACAATCAAATATTATTGGCAATTAGTATGACACTTACAGTTGCTCTCAGCTTAGTCACTCCAACATTGTTAGTGGCTTTAGATTGGCCAGTTCTAGTTCTAATTCGGTTTTTTCAAGGCATTACACAGGTAATTATTGAATAATATTGGGTCTATTTTTAATTTTAATAAATTCTATATTTGTCGCATACTTAAAATTTCCGCTAGGGACTTAAACAATAAAATAATATGCACCGTCATTAGTTTCTCTACTTCGATAAGAGTCCCTGATTTGTGTTATAATAATATTTTGTTTTTAATTTATACAAGATAGACACCTAAATCGGAATAAGTTGACACAATATTTAATAAATTTATATTTATGGCTGAAAAATATTAAAGACCACAATATATTTATAAGTAAAATTTCATTTAAATTAAAAAAAACTATAAGTATATTCATTAATTTGATAATATTTAAAACATTTATTCATTTTTATTAAATAACTATCAGTTTATCAAAAAAAATATTGTTGATATTTAGGAATTTAATCTTTAGACGATATAACTTAAATTTATTTATATTAAGTTAGGACACCTGTTAAATTAAAAAAAATATATTTATTTAAACCCAACCAAATACAATCCAACCCTCTATATATGAGTACATGTTCTGGACCTCCCCTGAAAAAATATTCTAAATACGACCTTGGCCAATACCATTTTCAAAAAATTCTTGAAATTTATTTTTACCAAACAATTACATTTTTTATGACAAATAACTGTATTTTTATCTCAAAATTTTGAAAATATGTAAAGGTCTTCTTAATAACCTGACGAATAAAGTTAAACTATATTAGTTGTCCTAAGACGTGGTTTTATTAAGTATAAATTACATTAAATTAAAACTAAACAATATTTTTATTTATTTTTTATGTATTAATATTTGTAGGCTTTTACAATGCCTATGATCCATGGTATTAGTGCTAAATGGTCGCCTCCAAATGAACGTGGACGTCTCGTTGGATTTGTGTTGGGAGGTAAAACATGATAGCTGTCAAGTTGACATTTTTCTCCAGCGTGAGGATTCTTGTAAAAAGTAAGACCAACAGCTATTTAATTCAGAGAATATATATAAAAATATATTTGAGTAATATTCATTAAAACTAATGGGCAGAGTTTCTACGGTTTTTAAAAAATATATATATCATTGAGTTACATTTTTTGACGGGTTAAAGTGTATAGATAGTGGTTGTTATGAAAGCATTTTATTACATTATTAGGCTTATAATTCTGAATGACAAGAGCATTAAAAATAAATTAAATTTAAAAAAAGTATCATATTTAAGTTATATTAAATTTTCCATAGGTCAAACTCTGCTTAGTTTAGTACTGACGTAATTTCTAAGATTATAAATAAATAACAAAAGATTAAATACTTAGTAAATATTTAGAGGAATAGCAAATATTTTGTATCATACATTTGTTTGTAATTTAAACATAATTTAGAGTTTTTGTATGCTCTTAATTTGATGACTGAATAACTTAATAAAATACCAATTAAATAGTTTCATTAAATTTAATTAAGTTATTTTTATTTAAATATCTAAAAAATTATTATTTTGCACTACCAAAAGAACAGAATTTGTGAATTTTACATTGCTATTTATGTTTTAGATACTCTAATTGATTATTTATGTTTGTAAATAACACTTATGTTCGTTAATTGTGTCACAGTGATTCATACAATAATACTAAAATTATATTGTGTAAAATATCAAATAATATTCGGATTTTGTACCTAAATTTCGTCATCTTTAGCTAAGGATTTAATTTTGATTATGAGTGTAAAAAAGTTGTTACTTTGTACCCTTTTGTTAGATAATAAAATTTCCTCGGTATAAGAGTATTTAACCTGTTACACAATTCATTCAGTTGCATAAAATTATAAGCAGTTAATTATTTAAAACATTTTAATTTGATCATCATTACTTATAATAAAATAATTACCAGTTTAAGCTTGAGAAACAAAATGTGTAGTATTACTAATAAAAAAATGAAGTGTGCTACGTGCCTAGATTTCTAGTGTTAATCTGTGACCAATGCATATTTTATATTGAATGGAAAAGGAAAATTTATAAATTATTCACTTTCTTTTTTTTTTTTTTTTTTTTTGTTTTGATTTTTTTTTTTTTTTTTTTTTTTTTTTTTTTTTNNNTTTTTTTTTTTTTTTTTGAGTTTCGATTTATCAATCAACACTATGACACTTGAGATAATGAGGAATCCTCCTTTAGGTATAACAATAATTAATAATTTTGTAATAAATGCTCTGGATTATATAACTGTGTCTTACAAGACTAATTTAAATTTAAATTCACTATTTAATTACCGTTATTTCATCTAGGTATTCAGTTTGGTACTGTTATAACTTTGGTGGGCTCAGGATTTTTGGCTGGAAGCCGATGTGGATGGCCTGCTATATACTATGTTAGTGGTGCTATTGGAATGATTTGGGTGATACTTTGGCTATCTTTAGGCTCCGAAAGTCCCGAGACACATCGTTTTATCACTTCTGCAGAAAAGAATTATATACAGGCATCTTTAACTCAAACTATAACTAATCAAAAGGTAAAAACGTTATTAACATAGTTTAAATCTAAATATTAACATAAATTCTGATATTTTTAAGAATTTGATTACTCCCTGGAAAGAAATATTTTCATCAATGCCAGTATGGGCAGTTACAATATCTCACGCAGGTCATAATTGTGGATTTTGGCTTTTGCTAAGCGAAATGCCTACGTTTATTAGCTCAGTTTTAAAATTTGACATAAAATCAGTAAGAGTTGCAAATTTCTGATGACTTACTTGAAAAATTTTTGTACTGGTGTGTTCATCATTTTAGGATGGAATAGTGTCTGCATTACCTTACTTGGCAATGTGGTTATGCCAGTTCCCAGTCACATACATTGCGGATATTTTGAACAAAAAAAATGTAACGTCTCTCACAACATCGAGGAAAATTTGGAACACTGTTGGTAATAATTAAATTTATACATGTTAACTAATAATAAACGCGTTAATAGTGTATTACAAAAAACGTATTTTTTTTAGTTTCACCAATCGTAAATCAATTTTCTATACTTCTGACAATAAATCTCAATTCTTTCTAAATATAACTTCAATAAATATTAATTCACAAAAGCTTAATTTTTATCAGAAAAATAATAGTGTGTCTAGTAGGGGACAATCGGCATACTCGTTGTAGAAATATATACACGTCTTAAAATATAGAGTGAAGAACAGAAAAAAAAATTGTAAATAAAATGTTTTTTACTGTTTTATAAACTTAAACATTAATTAGTGTTATTCATTAATTAATTGTTTTAATTAATAGATATTTAAATATGCGAAACTAGTATGAAAAATTATAAGAAACTAGGTTTTAACAAAGAGTAAAAATATAATAAACATAATAATAAAAAATTATTATTGTATAAAAATACATTTTAGTCTAAGGTAAAAATAAATTTAGCCTCCCCATTTTTGTGTCTATTATAGATAATGGATGATATAGCACATATTGGTGGCTAAAAATATTTAAGAATTTTTAGACGAAATTGAGTTATTTGTATAATTGTTTTAACCATAGAATAATATGAATTGTGTATAAATTAAGAAAATAAAATTTAATTTTTGAGTCACTAGCTTGTATTAAAATAATGCATAAGAGGTAAAAGAAAATATGTTTTAATCTGCACTGTCTAAAAAAGACAAACATTTAACTCTTTTTTGCACTAATCCATTGATAATATTAATTAATTTTTTTATTTTAATTGTAATTATTGTTTTCTATAAATTATACATAATATTATTCGTAAAATTTTTCATATAACCTACAAATTTTAATTTATTAATTCTATTCAGTTTTTTTTCACCTAGTAATGTGTTAAATTTTTTATTTATTTTTACAGGAATGAGTGGAGGTGCTATTGGTCTAATGTTTCTGGCTTACATGGGTGAAAATGCTAATGCTGCAATAACTCTGTACATAATTGTAGTGGCTATAGGATGTTGTACAAATGTGGGTTTCAATATTAATCATTTGGATTTAGCACCCAATTACGCTGGTATTCTCATGGGAATTACAAACGCAGTTGCATCAATTGGTGGAGTATTGGCGCCAATGGTGGTTGGATTAATTGTACATGATCAAGTAAATAAAATTATATAAGAATATATAATCGGTAAGATGGTTAAATGGAGAAAAATTTTAATGAAAATGGAGGAATATAGTTCGATGATGATTTTATTATATAAATTTGGTTTTATGTTATTTACTAAATAAAATAGTAGAAAGAATAAAATTAGTGTTTTATTCAAAATTTTTCAAAAATTGACATTAGCAAAAATTTATTCAATTATTATTTTCAAAAATATATTTTTTTAAAGTTTTGTAAATGACGTTTCCCCAAAAAACGTAATTATAGTTGCATTTGTATTTATATTTAATTTCGTGAGCTACTAATAATAGATATAGGCTAAATAGCAATATTGTGAAACATTTCCCACTCATTTTATAATGAGAAAGAAAAGGTTTTCTTTCTTGACACAATGCAGGTACTATGTACAAACTCTTTTATATCAAAAGTATCCTCAGAAACTTTTTTCAGTAAAAAATTAATTAAAAATATGAATCCTCTCCTAAATATAACAGTGGTAATGGATTTTTTATATTTTAGTCATCAGTTGAGGAATGGAGAATTGTTTTTTCATTGGGCGCAGCTGTACTGTTTTTTTCTAGTATTTTTTACCTACTTTTTGGATCTGCAAAAGTGCAACCCTGGAATGACCCTATAAACCAAGAAGGTAATGTAGCACAATAATTTAATTTAAGCATGAATTTGAACTAACTTATTGTTAATGCTTCTATTAATACACTTAAACAAATATATTACAGAATATAATCTGTTCTAAGTTATTTACATCTTATAAGATGTAATTATAAATGTAAAACTTTAGTATTCAAGGGTAAAATTCAAAAACTGTATATACATATAATTTAAATTGTAAAATTTAAATGTAATTTTTTATTTTTAGCTGATTTCCGCGAATCTTTACAACTGAAAACGGATTACGGAGCTGCTAGTTACGCATCGTCAGGTTTTGGTAAACTAGCGTAAATTTCATTGCCTACAAAAATCGCGTGAAAAAAATTTTTTTTTCACTCATAGTTAAGGTATTATCAAAAGGCGCGATATTTGTAAAACAATGGCAAAAGATTACAAAACGTTCCACAGAACCGTTTCTTCCTAATTGATCCTCTTCTAGCTTGACGAAAATAACGTTAAAATTAATTATTTGTTAATTGTTGTTATAATTACTGTACTTGTATGTTGATTAGTTTTAGTTAAGTATAACTTATTTTTTTACTCGAAAAAACATTTTATTGATTATTGATTAAATTGATTTAATCGATTTGCATTTTACTCTTATTAATTCACCCTTTTAACTTTACCAAATAATCGCATTTTATTCTTGTAGATTTTATGTAAAATTGATGATAGTAAAGAATTTAGAGGTCGTGAACATTTCTCGAACTACTTCTTTAATTAAAATAACATGTATTAAATATTATTTTTAAATAAGGTTTTTGGAAAAAATTCTTTGATTAGCAGAAATGTTTTAAAAGCAAAAGTTATTTTGTCCCTTCAAATTCTTTTTTTTGTGTATTTTACAGTAGCAATGTAATACCACCCGCCCACATTTTTTTAATTAACTGATGAAGATCTCACCTAAATTTGAAAGAAGAGCTCAATAAGAAATTTACACTCGGCTGAAATAAAAATTCTAAAGTAGTCACAAAATTCCCCATCCACGAGAAAAAATTATATTATATATAACCCGGCTTGAATTATGAAAAACCATCACAAATATTTCTTTTAAAATTAATAAATTATTTAAATTATTCTATTCGTACAAAATAAACTTACATTTAATAAACTTCGTACAAAATAAAGTTTTGAATAAAATTTTGTAAGAATTACTTAAAAATTTTTTAGCAATTCGAAATATAAGTCTGAAGTCAACGTATTTTTTAGATTTTGTAGAATGGATATTAATTTTTTCTCGTCTTTGTGATCTATTACATACAAGCAAGTATACTATCTATCGCCCAACTAGCTGATTTACTAGTTATTAAATCATAATAAAAATAACGGTATGGAGTTTATGTAGTCAAATTTGACGCTTTAAACCTTTCCAACAACACAGAAATTCAGCAAGAAAAAAAAAATTTTAAATTAAATACCTCCTAAATTAAGTTGAAACTGCGAGAAGATGATTATTTTGCCAATGTTTTCATTCACTTAGTTTAACGCATATCCTACAAATATAATATTCTATAAATACAAAATGATATCTAAATATTAGTCTGCATTTATGCCTGGTAAGTTATGAAGCATAATGTATGTAAGTAATGTAAGTATTTAAGTATAATGAAGCCATTATTTTGTGTGAGACAACTAATAGAAAAGTATAGGGAAAAGAGGAAAAAACTGTGTATATTAATAGATTAAGAGAAAGTGTATGATAGAGTACCGAGAGAGTTTTTTAAGTGGTTATTAATGAGATAAATAATCTCGAAAAGGTACATTAATATAATTAAGGATATATAATGGCACTTGTACCAGGGTTCCCTGTGTGACAGATTTTAGAGTAAGATCAGAAGTGCACCAAGGTTCTGTTTTAAGCCCTTACTTATTTTTTATAGCGATGGATGAAATTACTAGAGAAATACAAGAATTGTAGGATTATTCCAAAAGCAACATCAATCAGAACACGAAAACGTTATGAATAAAATTATAATTATAACGTTTATAATAAAAAATTTTGTAAAAACGGAAAACAAAAATCCAAAAATTTGTGATATAAATAAATGTAAAATACCGTTCAACATAAAACAACTAATATCGTAAAATAATTCTATTAAAACAAAAATATATTATTTTCTAACGTTATATTTATAATGCAGTAAATGTATGTGGAGAATTTTTTTACATTGTCGGAGTATTATCAGTTCATGGCAATCTCATTCTTTTTTTGATAACTCTTATAGTATAATGATACAATATTTTTTTAGCACAATTTTAATAAATTATGGTCACACTGTACCCATTACGTTTTTCCACGGTTATGATAACATACACGCTATTTGATAAGAGACGTCTATTTGTTTTTGTTTATGCGCAAACAACGAAAAAATATAATTTTTTTGGCAATATTATTGTTTTGCATGCATTTGTTTCCGAACAATTTATCAAGGGTAATGACGCGAATTCAATAAATTATGGCAAAAATTGATGAAGACTTGTCACGTATGTCAATAGGTAAGATACTATTAAATGGAGAAAATTAAAAAAAATGAATGAAGTTGTGTAGGTGAAAATACTTGATATCCATTTTTTCACTTGAAAATAAAGAATTTTTAATTTATTTAATAATTTACCAATTTACTAAATAGTAAATGACCTTGCGTCTCATATTTTTTAATTCTTTATACTATATCACCTGTCTATGGCTCAAATAAAAATACCTATTTTTAAATTTATTTTTATTGACTCTTCCATGTGACTTATTATTTGTATAAAATAACATGTATGTTAATCATATACAACTATAAAGTTACTTACATTGTTATAATGTTTTACATTTTATTTTTAATTGATGAACCAAAAAAATAATGATTTTTTTGTGTAGTGTTTATTGAAAATTCAATCAACTTTTTGTAGTCATTTTTCAAATACCTGGAAAAATGCTTATATTAATTAATTGGTGTATTTCATTATAAAAGTTAGTTTAGTTAAAAATATAGTTTTCAGAATGCTTTATATTAAGAGTTATTGTTTTGATATCAGTAGTGTATGATGGTTATATATTGTGTGATCTATTAATTATTTATTTATTTTAATGAATGTTTTTTTTAATCAGTAAATATTTGANATATTGTGTGATCTATTAATTATTTATTTATTTTAATGAATGTTTTTTTTAATCAGTAAATATTTGATATGAAGTAAAAAAAATTACATTGTTCCTAATAGTTTTTAATAAAAGTTATGAGGAAAACCTGTGAAGTTTTTTATACCATATCTTAATATCTTAATCTTTCACATATTAATATTATATTTACATAAACATTTATGAAAGTTAAAAAACGTAATGTTTGTTTTATTTAGTCAAAAATATTAACACAATTTGGAATATGTATTTTATATTATAATATTGTAAAAATATTACATTATAAAAATATTAATATTAGGATGAAAGTAATGAACTATATGAATTTTTTTTAAGGTGATGACTCTAATAATAAGTTTGGTAGAAATAAAATACAGAGAGATTTAGAAATATATCGACCTGGCAGTGGTCCACTTAGACGCAGTGGTATTTCACGTCAAGATGGTGAAGATGAGAGATCTGCATTTTCCAGCTATGGTCGTGATCATGATTCAGGAAAAAAGAGTGACTTTATTCCTAACAAACATTTTGAAAACCCTAATAGAAAAAAAGAAAACTTTGGTAGAGGACAATCTAAAATGAATGGTTTTGCAGCTGATAATTATAGTACTTTTAATTTGAGGCGTAAACAACAAAAGAAAAATCAACCGTTTTATGAACCTCAAAATGAGTGGAGTGAAAGTAGTAAACGTCCAGATCGGCCAAGAGTAAATTTTGTTCATCCAGATGATTCTAAAGATGATGATGATGAAAATTGGCGCACACATAAAACTCCTAAAATAGTTATTACTCCAAAAATGATCAAAAAGCCAGAAGTCAAGCCCCCTATAGAAAAACCTGTGGTTTCATTTGATAATATTCCTAGTATGGTCATTAATACTCGTGTTAATCCAATATCCATTCAAAACACACTTGAAAAAGTTTCAAGTTATGGAGGAGTAAGGAAGGATAAAAAACCTCTTAATAAAACTTCATTAAGTAGTATTTTGATGACTTATGAAAAATTACCTCCACGTTTTCGAAAAAAATACTGTGTGGATAATCACATTACTATAGAAGAAGTAGAATCATACTTGACAAATGGAATTCCACCCTCTCAGGATGAACATAAAGTAAATAGCTCATGTCAGTCAAGAAGTCAAACATTACCACAAAGAAGTAGCTCAGGAAAATTTAATGAACCACCAAAACAACCTGATCAAGTATTCTATAGGAACTCTAACCAACCACCAAAGTCTGAAGTCAGAAGAACTCAGTCTATGCATCAAAGTATACTAGATCATAATAAACGAATTAACAAAAGTGTTGACCACGAATTAACTGGTAAATCTAATAATGAATTTATGGAATCTAAGAGAGAAGAGTTGGTCAATGATAGAATTGATGAATCAAATAATTGCATCAAACAGACACTTGAAAGTGCAGTATTACTTCCAAGTGGTACAATCGTGAGTAAAATCAATTTAACATTTTCGTAGCCTTGATTTAGAGCCATCACAAATCTATAGCACTTAAGTAACTTTAAAACGTCAGAAAATCTAAAAATAGTTTGAGATATCACAAAATAGCAGGAAATTCTGATTTCAAAACTTTTGAATACATATTTTTTATATTTCAGTGAAAAATTTCTAGTATACTTTAAAAAAAAATATTTTTAAATTTTACTGATCTTAAATTAAAACTTGTTATTGAGGCATAAAAACTAACAAACTTTTTTTGTTATTTTTAATTTTTAAATTAAATTATATGAATACTTTTAATAAGTGCCAATGGTGCACCCCTTAGATATTATTTTTACCGAAAGAAGTAGAATTATCTTTTTTTTGAGGACTATTGTTATCAAATATATTATTACTTTTTAGTATAATTGTACATAAAAAGACCTAAAAAAGTAACCATTGATTTATTTAACAAACTATGTATTTATTTACAAAACAATAATAGTATACTAATTTAACTAATTTGATGTATTAATATGAGCTACTCTTTTCTTTAAAATAGATCTCAAATACAACCTCTTTTTTAAATTTTTGTTAAATGAGAAATAAAATATTTGTGTGTTTCATTGTTAAAATTTGTTGTTGGTGTTACATGAGACAAATAATCTATTTAGTGTTAAAAAAACATTAACTAGATAAATATTTAAAAAAAATTCAGCAAATATTTAAAATCTAAAACTTTCTAAAAATAAATCCTTTTTTTTAAGAATTGGGCTGAAGAAGTTGAACGGGCTGAAAATTTGTCCAAAGTGGCTGAAGATACCAAAAAAGATGCCTTCCTGAAACCTCCAGATACAGTCGAGAGAAACCAAAATTATAATAAGGATAGAAAACAAATAAAGTAAGTAGATAAATAATAACATTATTAAATTGACAATTACTATTCTCATTTTGAAAATAAATATTTCTTATTTACCATACAAACTAGTTATTAATATAATGTCCACCAGAGTTAAAATAAAATAATTATTATCAAAATAAATTGAAATAAAAAAATATAATATTTTAAATGTTGTATTATTATTATTATTATTTTTTTAGTAGCCTTAGCAAAGAAAGGAATGCTCCTTTATCTAAACATGACCAAGTATCTAGTATTGGAAATTCTAAGTGGCATAGTAATATAAATGAGAATTCAGAACGCCAACATTGCAATAGTAATTGGAGAAGTGAAAAATCTTCAAAATCAAACCGAAATTGTAGTAATGACCGATCAAGAAACAGATCAAAAAATCGTAGAAATAGGTTTGTTTTTTTGTAAAATAAATTTACTTCTAATTAATATAATAATAAGTAATCATATAAACTCAATTGTAGACATAACAGTGAAAAATCAGCATCTCAAAAAAGAGAAAATGTTGCTGGTATAATAAAACTGCCTCCAAATGTGAGTACTGCAGACCCAGGACATCTATCTCTCAATGGTTATTTAAATAATAAATCCCTATCAACAAGTACTCCACAGTCACCATGTCCAGCTAAACAGTTATTTAATCCTAACAATCCTAACAAACCCATTGTTATAGCATCAAAACAACAAAACACTAGAGTAGGCTATGTACCTCCTGCTGTTGATCAACATACAACAAAAGATCATTATGTAGGAGCAATGTCTACAGCTCCTGTTCAGCATTTTTCTGGTGCACATTTTGGTAACCCACCCCCTAGTTGGTATGACCCATATACAGAAAGGTAATTTTCAAGACAATTATGAATAGTTATTTAATTTATTAATGTGCTGTATTAACCTTTATTTAGTTACCGTTCATCACGTCATCCAGTTTTGCTATTAGATATAAAGAAAGCTGATTCTATAATGGAAGATAAAATATTTTGCTCAAATATGCTTTCAAATTGGCATACTATTAACTCATGCAGGTTCTATTTTTATTTTAATATATTACTTGAATAATGTATACAGGGTAGAACAGTGAATGAGCTATTAGAAATAACTACAAAACCCTATAATTAATTAAAAATAAGATTGTAATTATAAAGTTATGTTTTGTGTACATAAGCATTTAGTAATTATTAATTGATAAAACAAGAAACAACTGGTGTTCAATATTAAAACACATTATTTTAACAAGTTGTAGTTTCATGGTTCAAAGGTATTTTTTTCAAAATGGGGATATTTTATAGAGGCACATATCTAGTCAATTTTCTGTCCTAAAAATTACTTTTAAGGACCCTATATTACACAACAAAAAATATTGATGAACTTTTTTTATTTTTGCTAATTGTTTGTTGAGATAGAGGTTTTTTTAAAAACAAAGAAGTTTTTGCTATGATTTTTCCTATATCTAAGTAATCCAATGTAATTTTATACTGCCAATTTATTTGATTAAATTTTTAGTAATTTTTTTTTGTAAAAGGATAAGAGTCAAATATATTAGGAGTAGAGTATCAGAAACCACACCATGGAGTTTTAATTTAACCATTTTAAATAAATAATATGAGAAAAATTGACACAAATTTCCCTGAAAATACTCAGTCATCATATTTAGATATTTTAGCATGTCATTTTTTTATAGACATCTCAAAGAGCTGTTAAATTCCATCTTTTAATAATTTATTATACACCCCAAGAAGTAATATAAAAAATGTTTTTAAATTAAAAAAATATTTTTTATTGATACAATTAAATTGCATTTCTAAGTTTATGTTGAATAAATTAAAATTATTAACTTTATTATTATTTATTTCAGAGAATTTTTGAAAGATGCTTTAAAAGAGCTCTTAAAAACTGACATGAAGTTTTGTCAGCGTGAAAATATAGAAACACATTTTTGGAAAATTTTATATCATAATATTATTGAACAATTGAAAAAACTCATTAATGAAGATTCTCCTGAATTGTCTAAAGATTACACTACATTACTTATGAATTTAATTGAAGAGGTAAATCTTTTTATCTATAAATTATTTTAAAAGTATCAAAAAATTAAAATTTTAATCTCTAGGGTATGAAGTACATGAATGATTTGCTGAAACTTTTGGAAAAAACCTATAGTTTTAATTTAGATGATTATATGTCACTTACGTGTCTATCCACTAAAAAGCTTGGTAATATTGGTCTTGCTTTAATATCATCTCAAAAGTTATACATATCTTTGGGAGATTTAGCAAGATATAAAGATATTATGAATCATAGCACAAATTATGTGATTGCAAAACAGTATGTATTAATAAACAATAGTAAATATATATGTTTTAAATAAAATGGTTACTTATAGATGGTATACTAAGGCAAATTTGATAAATCCTAAAAATGGTAGACCATACAACCAGTTAGCTTTATTAGCTGTGTATGAAAAACGAAAACTTGATGCTGTATATTACTATATGAGAAGTTTAATGGCTTCTAATCCATTTCAGTCCGCCAAGGACAGTCTATTATCATTGTTTGAAGAATATCGAAGAAAAGTAGGTTTAAATTATATATTAGGAACTAGTTATTAGTAATAACTTTTAATTTTTTTTTTATAGTATGAAATGACTGACAGAAAACGCCAGGAAGATAGAGAAAAACGTGAAAGAGACAAAGCAAAGGAGAAAGAAAGTTCTATGTCAGCTAAAGAAAAATATAGTAAACGAAGAAAAGAGATCTGGATTCATCCAGATGGTGGTAAAAGATCACATAGAACTACTTCTACTACTGAACCTACTCAAGATATTGATGAAGATGAACTATCAAAATTATCACAATCTGAAGTAAAATCTTAAAATTCAAAATTTTAATTTTAATTGATTGAAGTTTACATAATTATATTTATAAGTTACAATATTCTGCTTTCAGGTTAATAAAAGATTTATTGTGAGTTTTCTACATGTTCATGGAAAATTATTTACAAAAGTTGGGTATGTAATTATGTTCATTATTTAATTATTATTTATAGATTTAATATTAAAAAATATATATATATAGAGTTTCTTTATAAAATAATGCACTAATAATCTTAGGATACTTTTAGTTACTTTAAAATAAAAAAATTTTTATATTTGGCTGTTAATTTCTTAAACATTTTGAAAATATATTTGGTTATTTTTTTTTAGCTAATTTAATGTTTTATTATTTAGCATGGAAACTTTTCAAGATACTGCATTACAAATGCTTCGGGAATTTCGCAAACTCTTATCTAATACACCAATTCCTATTATTACAACAAGATTTCTTCAATATTTAGCTCTAAACATGTTTGCAATTGAATATAGCCGCCCTAAAGGTTGTATATTTTTAAAAATAAAAAATGAAAATTTGAATTTTAACTTTTTTTGGTAGACACACATGTGGAACAGGGTTACTGGTCAACAATGCATGAATGCGCATTAGTTATGTCCTTACAAATGTTTAGTCTAATTGTAGATAGATGTAATCAACTATTGAAAGAACTTCTTGTCAAAAATGAAGATAGTAGTATGGCGAAACACTTGATTGGTAGTGACATTGACTTTCTTTTACCTCCAATTAAAGTATGGTGTGATTGGCTACTACGTAATTCTAAAGTATGGAACCCACCTCCCTCTTGTTCTGATTATAAATTAAGTGGTAGTGGTGACTGTTGGAGTCGATTAGCATCATTAGTTAATAACTTAGAAAAATTTCAAGAACAATACAAGTTATTTTTAAATGAAGCAGATGAAAAAGATCCAAGTAAAATAAATTGAACAAATTATAGTGTTCATTACATTTAACAAAATTTACAACTGTTACAGATACTATACAATTAAAACTACCTGAAGATTCTATGTTTAGTGGTTTTACACCAATAATAGGTTATGAATTAAAACCTGCATTTATTCATTCCTCTTCAGATAGGGTATATATAAATATATACTTTTAAACATTAAATACTTATATTATTTTAGTCTATTAATTTATTATCTATTATTATTTTCTTTCTTTTAAATCTATTGTTTATTTTTAGGATTTGTCTGAATTTGCTATGCGAGTAAATTGCATACTATTTTTCGGAACTGAATTTTTGTGTGGCACTGAACCTCCAGTATTTAAGTTACATAAGACTGATACTGGAGCTAGTGAGTATATTTCAGTTGTTGAAACAGCAAGTTCTAAAGATGAAGTAAGTAAAACATATATAATAATTAAATTGCTGCTATTTTAAACACTTAATCTAATACTGTTAATACTACTAATTTTAACACTCCTCTAGAGTGAAGATGAAGATCTTTGTGTTGAAAGTTGGAGTGATGAAGAACATGATCAAAAGTCTAAACCTCTTAATAAAACATGTCTAACAGAATCATCTGTCAAACCACTCTCAAATGAAATACAGAAATTGTTAAGTAGAAAAGAAGAACTAGAGCAAAAGCAACGCAATGAAGAATTGCGACAAAAGAGAGTTCAGGTATTTTTTCCTTTTTATATTTTATATTATGCATTGCAAAAATGTTTAATTGATATTTTTGAGTAGGAAATATTAAGGCAAGCTTCCTATTGTGTTGAAATTGAAATCAAACCACATTACATAGTACCTGATACTAATTGTTTTGTTGATTACTTACCTCAATTGGAAAAGTTAATGCATTCTTTTTCTCATGCTCAAGAACATACTTGTACTATTATGGTTCCAAATGTTGGTATGTTGCAATGAAATACAATACTACTATTTAACACATATATAAAAATTTAATTTAATTAATTTTTATACTATAGTGTTAATTGAATTAGAAGGTTTAGCAAAAGGAGGTTGGGCTCGAGAATCAGTATCTAATGCTGCCAAACAAGCTTTAAAAACTCTAAAGAATGTTGATACTGCATCAGTCAAATTTGTGACCACTAAAGGATCAAGTTTTAAATCATCTACTTCTTTTGAAGAAGATTCAAATATTGTTAGTAAATAATTTTTACTTTAAAATAATCAATGATAAATGAAAGTAAATTATATAAAAATAAAAGCAGTAAAATATATATATTAACAGTGGCTCTCAGTCCTAACTGATGACACTTATTATTTATTACTAATAAGAAAAAAAAACATTTATTTTTTCATAATTTCATAATAGCAATTTTTAATTCTTTTTCTTACAAGAAATTTTGATAAGTTTATATCAATTATAGAACAAATATTCATTGAGTTACAAGTATTTTAATGTACAGAGTGTGTATGTAAGCATGGATAGAGTATGTATGACATGTACCAATAAAAGAATATTGCTGTGTGAAATACAGATTAGTTCTTCATGATCTGTCAAATCCGATTACTTTTGATACAGTGACTATTTTGTAACTTTTTATTTTTTATAATAATTTTTGCGCTCCATGACTACAATGGTATAAATTATATTATTTAAAAAAATAAAAATTAAGAAATCAGTTAAAAAAAACTCAAGATGGTAGAGCAGATTTTGTAGCAAAATCTCTTATTGATGTTTTGTAGATAAATTTCTAGAGTATTTCAAAGTTTGTAAAAATTTGAATTTTTATGATTTTACATGTTTATTTCTCATATATGAATAGAAAATGATGCAATGTTCATGCTAAATATTGGTTGTAAAGACAATTATTTAGATAAAAGTTATCATGGATTAAATGAGTATACAGGGTGGCCCACCACTCACTGACAACTTAAATAACTTTTGATCCAGTTAATATTTTTAGTTGATTTTTTTTTTAAATATTAGTTAGACGTTAGGTCTATAGCTATATCTCAATAATTAATTTTTTTACATTTTATTAAAAATATTAATTATTTTTAAATTTTAAATAAAATGTAAAAAAAAAATCTAAGATAGCTATTTTGTAGAGTAGAATTTAAGAAAAATTTTAGTAAAAAAATATCTTATTAATATTCAGTAGTAAATATTCTGTAGCGTTTTGAAGTTTGTGAAAATTTGAATTTTCATGTACTATTTTACGGTATTAAACATTGAAATATGTATTGAGAAAAGGACACAAGAAAACGCTATCTTTTCAATATACTTTTGAATGAGAGTGATAAGTAATAATTGTCTTATCTAATTTCTTATCATGGTATTTATGCCAAGTTTGTAATGTATACACACTATCATCATATGTATACACAGTAATCATGAAAAGATAGCGTTTTCTTCTGTCCTTTTCTCAATACATATTTCAATGTTTAATACCGTAAAATAGTACATGAAAATTCAAATTTTCACAAACTTCAAAACGCTACAGAATATTTACTACTGAATATTAATAAGATATTTTTTTACTAAAATTTTTTTTAAATTCTACTCTACAAAATAGCTATCTTAGATTTTTTTTTACATTTTATTTAAAATTTAAAAATAATTAATGTTTTTAATAAAATGTAAAAAAATTAATTATTGAGATATAGCTATAGACCTAATGTCTAACTAATATTTAAAAAAAAAAATCAACTAAAAATATTAACTGGATCAAAAGTTATTTAAGTTGTCAGTGAATGGTGGGCCACTCTGTATATTTGAAATGAAAAACCCATATTGTAATATTATTATTATCTATTTAGTAATAAAGTCTCTGGTACTACCTTTTTTAACATTAAATTAATATTGTGTTTGTGAAATTTCGATTAGATTTCTCATTTAAAAACAATAAATATCATGGAAAATATTGTGCCTATAACCAATATTTAATGTGTAAAGATTGTGATTTCTTAATTGCAATTACTGATGTTTGTTATTGTAAAATAAATATGTAAAAGAAAAGTATTTTTACTGTTAACATGCTCTAGAAATTTTCATATCTAGATGATAGGAGTGAAGCCAAGAAACATAGTGATTAAAATAGCAGCATCCGCACCACACTCCAGACATAACTTTAAATTGTTAAATGATATCTTCATAAGGTATTATGGATTAATATGAATAATACTTCATGGTCAATAAATTTAGAAAAGTATGTAATTAAAAGAAGAGAAAAAATTCTCATATAAAAATTATTTAATAAATCATTGAACGTTTAGTTAATAAATGGTTTATGAAATAGAAGTATTAGAAGAAACATTTCAGTGGATATTAATACCCTTGTTTGTTATGATTCACATAGAAAAAAAAAGTTAAAATTATATTTTATAGTTATATTTTAAAAATGTGTTAAGTTATGACTTACAAAAAAATGTATTTATGTATATATATATTTTTTTTTTTTAGATTGGTAATAATGACGATAAAATTTTGACTACATGCCTTAGTCTTTGCAAGCATAATGTCCAAGGTGCTCCTAATTACCCACAATCAGAAAGTAATAATTTTTTTTTATAGTAAAATTTAAAGCTAAAAATAAGAATATAATAGATGCAATATTAATTTTTTTAATATCTTATATTGTAGATGAACCTAAAAAAATATACAGGGATGTAGTTTTATTGACTGAAGATCGTAACCTTAGAGTTAAAGCACTGTCATCAGATGTACCAGTTAGGGCAATAATGGATTTCATTAACTGGTTAAATTTCAATAATAGTTGATCTGTTTATCTGCAGCAATAAGAATGCTGTATTGTTCCTAAATTTAAAGACTTATATAAGTACAACTGCTTATGGTAAGAAATAATTATTTTTAATATTAAAAAAGAATTAATTGTTATATTGCTTTACTTTGTAATTAGAATATTTCAGTTAGTTAAATATGTCATATAACATGACATAATTTTTACTATGTAAAAATATGAGTTTTGATAATAATTAACACATCTAAAATAGTTTTTATATAAAATTCAGGTTTATTATTTTATTCTTTATAATAGATCTATGGGTTTTTATTTTTATTTTGTGTATGCTGTATATGTGTATGCCCTAATGACAACATAAATAATATAGAATTTTTTTATTTTTGGAAAAAAAAAATTATATTTATATAATTTAATAAATTTATTGTTGTACCACCTGAGATACAGCAGCAAGTAATGAACTGGAGAGTGCGGGTTGCATTTTTTGAGCTGACAACAGTAAGATTGTTTTTTTATCAATTGTCAAGACAGTACTTGTAAACAATTTGATCAAAATAAGACTACATAGTTAGACGAAATTAAAAGAGATATGCAGTTGAGACTAGATTGAAAGGGGATCTAAACTATGTAAAAAATAATAGAGAGGAGTGGAAGAATTTGATGTTGGCAGGAAAGAGCATAAATAGTCTATAATGCTTAATAATATATGTATATATAAATACAATTGTAAAGAGTGTCATTAAATTTCATTATTTGTTGATTTTATAATTAGTTAATTTGAAACAATTTTCTTAGTTTCCAAGTATTTAATTTTTTTTTTTTATCTTGGTTGTTTATACTAATATGTGAAAAAGTCTCGATAAATTAGTGTAGAAGTATTTATTGATATATTGTAAAATTTACAATCTACATTTAGATCTATATTTATGTTTGAGATGAAAAATATAGCAATATATTTAAATAATAAATTCTCGTCTATAAACAATTGTCATATAGTTGTATCAGAAACAGTTTCAGAATTTACATAGTATCTTATTTTTTCATTTGTAATTCATAATAATTTTCTTAATTATTATTTATTTTCACTTTGATTTGCCAATTTTTTTACCATAACATAGTTTATTAAATACTAACGTGTTTCAAAAATTACTACAGAAATGGGAAATCATTCACAATGAATTTTTAAGTGATAATGGGTTGTATTGTATAGTATGGAATAGTATGCGGCAATCCATGTTATTATAGCATAATGAGACTTCTTAAATCAAAACTACTGTCACATAAATCAAAGATACTACTGTATCATAGCTATTTATGACCAATAATCATGTACACGAGCAAAATTAGGTCACTGACCAATGAGAACAGCAAAACAGCTAATGACTTTTGAAAGAAAGGTACTGAGAAATATATATATGGTCTAAAATTCAATGCAGAATTGCAAACTTTAAAAAGGAGAAATATCAAGAACTACAAGAGTTATATGTCAGGCCAAGTATATGATTTATAAAAATCAAACGATTAGAATAGTTTGGTCATGTCTGGAGAGCAGATAGACAAGTAATAAGAGAATTTTTAGTTGATAAAATGAATAAAGAATGTCCATTAGGTAGACCAAGGGCGCGATTAGTGAACGTTATAACTCAAGATATCAAAAACATAGAAGAAGAGTCAAATTTTAATGATGCATATGATAAAGAAAAATGAAGAGGTTTTTGTGATAGAAGCGATGGCACTTAATAAGTCGATAAGCTGAAGAAAAAGAGTTTTAGAATGTTTTTATCATCCCTTTTTTATTTTTCTATGGCCGAAATCAAGATAGTCATGCATAATATTGTTTTTTATTCATAAACTAAAGATCTTAAGGAACATAAAGATACATATATTTTTTAATTATTATTAAAAGTAATTGAAAATTAATATCTTGTAGTTGTTTCTGACGCACTACTGATAAATACTATAGATGAAAATTAAAACATATTTAAATAAAAAGAAACAAATTGATTCTATTTTATTCTACTATCTGTTTTTTATTTGTTAATTAAACTGTCTTATAAAATGTTTGTACACCGCCATTTCATTTAGTCTCAAATAATAAATTAATTTATTAAAGTTATGTATCAATAGATTTTATAATAATTTTTTTTGTTCTTTTTTCAGGTTATTACTTAACTCTTGTGTTACTTGCTGCATTTTAATTTGTGCATAGAAATATATTAGTTTGACCATTAACAATGTTTTTAAAATTTCTAGCCAACTTGGTGTTAATGAAATTATAACTTTTATTAATATTTAATTTTATGACTGTAAACAAAAGTTCATGATACAGTATTCATGATTATTACTGGCATTAAAAAAAAAAATCAATTTTTATTTATTAGAACCCAGCACATATTTAAATTTTGTGACTTCTCAAGTTAAATAATATGCAATTATTGTTTATTATAATTTATTATCTGTTGTATATACAATAATATGCAACTGTTAAAAAATAACATATTATTTGTATATCTAAATTTTGGATGTAGATATAATGTGGATACTGAAATGTATTTTCAATAATTTATCTTTTATTTTTAAAAATTTTAAAGGCTGCCTATGTAAATATATACTAATTTGTTAATTAACGTCTGATGATTTTCTATTTAAATCACCTCTGTTTAAATGTAAAATATTATTACCTTACTAAAAATTTATCAATGAAATAATATGTTTAATATTTTTTGATTGATCCAAGTCATTTGTTTGATTTCCAATTCCTTTATTTATTTCTATCTAAATTAAGTCTATTCTTATTATAGTATTGCCCAGGTAAAATTCTTTATACAAAATGCAATTATTTATCAATAACTTTGAAGTACAAAGGATAAAATGTATGTCTTCATGTGTACAAGTGTACATGAACAATATTTTATTCATTTTATCCCACGCGATTTCGTACAAATCATTTTTAATGTATTTAATGTAATTTTACACAATTAAGACTCGCCTATTTTAGTTTTTTTTTTAGTGTTATTATCTTTTCAATTAGTTTTAAGATATTTTTTGACTTGAAAAATAGTTAGTTTCCCTGTAACAGTAATTTTTAATGCTTATTATTTAGTACAGATATATTATTTAATAATCAAAAGCAGATATACGAAGTTAATAATAGGGTGTTTGTTTTAAAAGAATAAAAAGCTGTCCCCAAAAATTATTTCCCATTGTGAAAAATTAAATATCTGGTTAGTGATATAGTTAAATAATTATTATAATAGTAAAATGTTTAAATAAATTGTTTTAATGACTTAACTATTATGTACTGTAAATAAATAAATAATATTAATTATTACTTGTAAATGTATATTATAATTATGATTAGTGATAATTCTGTGTATGTTATTAAGTGTCATTCATGTTTACTTTTAAATAAATCGTTAGTTTAATAGTATAATAGTAGTAATTTTTATACATGTAAATTTGCACTTATCAGAACCATTATAAAGCAAAAAATATGGAGGGGTGATAAATATACCAACGCCAATAGAATATTTTTTTTAAGTTGTGTGATTTTTTTTTTATAACTATTTCTTGGTAGTATCCTGTTATATTATAAATTTACCGATTAAAACTATCATTTTTTGCTAAGTGTACAATACTTATTTTCAACAAAACAAATTAATTATAATAAGTAAATAAAATTATTTCTATATAAATAAATATAATAAATATAAATAATAATTTCTATATATAATAAAAATGTTTCTGTTTACACTTAAAATATTTTAACTTAAAACTTAAGTTCTTAATTATAAAGAAAAAACATAGGTAACTTCTTTGTTCCATATATCACAACATTTTTTAAATTAATAATATAACTAGTCTCGCCAGCTTCTTTTTTTTAGTATTGAATAAATGAGTTATACAATCTTCTTCGGCTATATTATAGGCTAATTTCTGAACTTCTTTCACAGTAAATCCAAAAAATCTAGACTCGATTTCTAGTATGTACTCAGCTAATTTTTTTTCCATACAAGGTAAAAAAATGCTAAGTCGACCTAGTGTTTTCATAACACCAATAGCTTATTTATTTTTGTTCTGACATCGACGATAAGGAGTAGCTTGAGGAACATAACATTTTTTTAGACGCCTTAAGCCAACCCATTTCTTTTTAGCTTCGATGCGAAGCTGAGAAGGTATTGGTTTTACTAAGATGTGTTTTTTTTTTTTTTTGTCTGTGTTACCACTTTTTCTCAGCTCTCAACGAACCGATTTCTTTCAATGATACGTCAAAAGATCACAAATCGTATCTAGTCGAAGACATTACCTTCAAAAATTGAAAAAACTCCCTCGTTTCCCGTTAATGGGGGAAACCTCCAAAAAAATTACAAATTTAAAAATCGCTAATTTTCGAAATTTTTTCACTTTTTTTTCTTAAAACTTCCATAACTTTTTTAAAAATCAACAAATTAACATAATTTTTTTTTATATAGATGCATGATATCATTACCTTTCATTTGGTATATTTTTTTGTTATATCTGATCCTTTAACTGTCCACAGGGGGGGATTTAAAATGACAACTTTTTTACAAAAAATTAACTTTTTCAATTTAACTTTTGAAAATGTTCCGGAAGGTCTGACACTTTTATATATATCTTAAATTAAAACTAATGTAATGTACTTTATTATGAAAAAAAAAAATTTCGGATTTTATTTTTTGTCTGTTGCAGATATAGCTTTTTTCATATCACTTTTTGTTCATGACTATCGTGTGGTTTTACGTTTATAATTTGATACCATTGTAACTAGAAATATAACAAAAATTAAATATGAAAAATAACTCGGTCAAATGACATACCACTATGTCATTTTGCCCGGTATCATAATAAAATATTTCTAATAATTTTCTATACAATTAATATCAGTAAGGAAGATAATAATGCAATTATATTGTAGCTTATCTTTTGTTCTCCAACATGGGATCTCAAAAAATTTACAAAATATGAAAATGATAGTATAAACTTGGAGTCTTAAAAGTACCAAAAAAAAAAATCATTATCACTAATTACACATTTTTATTTATTATTTCATTAATAATATTATTATCAGTTGTCGGAGGTAGTTATAATACTAAAGACCCTATAACATATGCTTAGAAAAATCTCCTTTGTCATTAAATATCAATATTTCCGGTCAAAACACTGATGTGTCAAATTGCCCTAATATGTCATATTAAGCCGGTCTCTCATATGAATCACCAAAATTAATTTTCAGGAAAATTTACTGAAATCTCAAATAATAATAATAATAATAATAAATAGTATCATTTAACACTCACAATAACTACACAATTTATTTTCTTAAATTCTTAGATTTATTTTAACAATTATAAGTACTATTATTATTCTAATATAATAAAGATATTTTACTATAGATAAAGATAATAATCATTTAATTTAATGATTTTAGCTTCCATGCGAAGCTGAGAAGATAATAATTTTACCATGATGGGGTTTTTTTTTTGTGTCTGTTGCCACTTTTTCTCAGCTCTCCTGGACCGATTTTAATGAACAATAGATCACAAATCGTATTTTGTTAATAACATTACCCTTACAAATAGAAAAAAAATCCCTCGTTCTCCATAAATGGGGTATATCTCCAAAAAAATTGCAATTTTTAAAATCGTATATTATGTCATTTTTTTTTCTTAAAATTAGCATACATTTTTCAAATATTAATAAATCTACCTAATTTTTTTTTTTATATTGAAACCTTAGATATTTTCCTTTCATTTGATATAAATTTTTTGAAAATTTGACCTTTTACCTGCCCACAGGAGGGGATTCAAAATGTTTTAAAAATGTTGCGGAAATTCTACGAGCTTCAAACATATGTTAAAATAAAGCTTATGTTATATACTAGAAGTTCAAAAAAATAATTTATCCGACGATTTATTTTCTATGTACAAATGGTTGCCGTAGTTGAAAAACATGCTATTGTTAAACATGATATTTTGCAATTTTTTCGTAATTCTTTTTGAGTTAGAATTTTGCTTTTCAATAATCCAACGATTTCTTAAAATTAAACGCTATTTACAGATTTGAATCGAAGTGTCTCTTATGATAGTGATTTTAATCACTGTCAGATTAAATCTATACTAGTCCCAACTACGCCACGCTCACACTGTGCTTTTTATCGTAAAAAATATGTCTTATTATATTCAACCACATTATAGATCTTATATTAAACAGTTTTATTTTTGGACCACCACAATATCACTCTGAAAAAATGTTTACATAAATATTAATATTTTTTAGTTTTGTTTCGACGAGGTCAGTGGAAGCTTTATAAAATATTGATGTCGATCTCTAAAAAAAAAAACTTGATCAATAATAATATAGTAAGTGTTTAGATTCTTTTACACATGAAAGTCAGTCGTAGATTTTGTGAAAAAATCGTATTATTTAAAATTATATTAATACATTTTGACTGCATAACGCGTAGTGTGAAACAAAGTGCATTTAATACACGAAATAAGCGTTGGATTACTTAAAACATTATTACATGACAAAAAGTTTGGTTTATAAGGGAAGTGCAAATTTAATTTTTGCTTTTAAACCACAAACGATATATTGTGTATTAACCATTAAGATAAATTATAACATTTTATAAGGATATTTGGCATCACATATTCAATGTTGTTCAACCCCCTGATCAGTACACAGTCTTGTCTCTTTTGTCTAATTTAAACTATTAATTTATCCATTTACATTTATTTTTGGTTTATTATAATTAGAATAATACTAATAACATGTTAATCAATTTTTTTAAAACATTCAATAAATAACAAAAACAGCGACAACGATTATAACAAAAATAAAAAACAATAACAAAAATTACAAAAACAAGCCAAGTCGACAGTATAGTTCCAACCTCAGACTTGAAACTATCGGCCCGGAAATAAACTATACGACGATTTAAATATACATGTATATTATTATTGTTATTGTTATTATTATTATTATTATATATTTAAGATATTACTGATAATATTATAAATAGCTAAAACATAATGTTATTATAAATTTCAATTATTACTCGATATAACATATACGACATTTTTAATTTGATATTATTTATATTAAAAGATTTCAATCACTGTAATGGTTATTCATCTACTTTTACTATTTGTGAATTTTGATACTTATTTTTATAATGTTATGTGAAAATATTCAATATTTTTTATTTACAATTAATTAAATAAAACTAGGTTAGTAAGGAACTGGAGAAATATGGTTTTTTCATTCTGTTTTCCGAGTGCATTTTGAGGGGCGATTTCCTAGAATTATTACGGCAAATCATTCAAAAACTACTAGTCTATTTGTTATACAAGTATAACAAAATACTTCTGAATTATTGATATTTTTACCTGCAATTTATGCTTTCTTTCAATGTTGTAATGAATTATTTTTAAGTTTGTACAC